ACACAGGCTCTAATTTGGGACCAGAGAAATCTCTCTCTTATATTCGGGTCTCTTATATCCGGGTTACACTGTATATATATTCATGAATAATTATATTGAACATACCATTACATACCTATCAAGAAGACTTATGTTGCAGCTTTTTAACTTTTGTTCAATTAGGACTCATTTAAACACACATAGAAACATACCAAACTTCATCCACAACATGGTTGTAGAAAATGCAAGTGTAATCGCCTCATCCACATGTAGAAAAGACTAAAAATAATGGAAACACTAATAATAAAAAAAGGAAAAAACCAACACTCAATAACATAAATTATGAATACGGACACAATGTGATGACCGTGTTTTTAAAGTTAAAAAAAATATTCTCATCAAACTAGAAACATAACAAATCAACACATTCAGTTAAAAATAATAATAAAAAAATCATCCTTGATAATGTCTAATAGAATATCTGAAAGTGCTTGGACATACAGAACAAATGGACAATTTTGAAACATTGTATCTACAGAAAAGAAAATAGTTTTAAGAACAAAAGAAAAAAAAACGAGCAAAAAGCTTAAACGCAATACCTTGTCAGTCATCTTTCATAAAAGAGGGATTGGTGGCCTAATACACATTAATTATATATATATATATATATATATATATATATATATATATATATATATATATATATATATGATAAAAATGACTTGGGGTCAAATACAGATGAAATATGGATTGGAATCTGACAGAATGATAGGATAAAGAACAAATAGGAAACGTTTATTAACCTAAAATGTTTCACTTTTATTAAAGCATGATCAGGGAATGTGATATTGATAAACATATAATGCTAGAAAGTTCAAGGATGATTTTAGTTTTACTTTTTAACTGGGTGGATAGATTGTGTGTATGTTTCTAGGATTATAGGGATGTTTTATTTTCCGAATACAGTTATCACATTGTGGCCGTGTTCGTTGTTAATATTACTGAGTGTTAACTTCTTTTTTATTATTAAAAAAAATTCTTTTCATAGTTAAGAATAGCTTCCCTAACCACCTTATAGACAACTAAATTAAACTATTTCTTCCCAAAGTAAATAACAATGATAGGGAACATAATGAGCATAATGTTCCGATGGGTTCGGAAAATAAAACATCCCTATAACTCTAGAAACATACAAACAACCCATAAACCCAATTAAAAAGCAAAAATAAAATAATCCTTGATAATGGCTAAAAGTAAAGCCGAAACCGCTCGGAATTACAGAACATTTGGACATTTTTTACACACTCCGTGTTCCAAAAAGATAACACTTGTTCGAACACAAGAAAAATTAAATAAAAAGCTTAATCGTACTACTCTGTCTGTCATCTTTAATGGAACATGTATAAATGAAGGATTGCTGCCTAAATACACAATATATATAGCAGTAGTGCCCGGCGTTGCCCGGGGATGTAACAGTAAGAGATAGATCAAGTATCGACCATCATAAATATTGAAAAATAAAATTGACAAAGATTATTGTTTAAGGTTGACAGACACACATGTCTTAAATAGTTTTTTTTTTTTTTTAACGAATTGGTCAAACCCAATCTCAAACAAAAACATTGTTTTCAATCGTTATGAATCTACCGATTGAATAGAATTTTATTTTAAACAAGTGTCTTGTAAATGGAATTTTTAAAGCATTCTGAATGTAAAAATAAAGAAAAAAGTGTTCAAGACAATAAGAAACACTACCTGCCAAAAAAAGTGAAGTTTTGTTGAAATCGGTTGAAAAATGTAGGAAATCCGATCCCATGTATAAACGAACACACACACACACACACACATACAGACACACACACACACACACACACACAACCTGGGTTTTATAATAAGTATAACTCGATATGAGTTGTCCCCCTTTCATTCTCGCGATGCCTCTTAATTGTGTTTTCAAATTGATTTGGTACAAAAACAATTGTGTTTTTCCAATTTTTGGCGCTGTCAGAACCACCGCCAGGTAATTTTACGTAGTCCTGTGAAGTTTTGTTGAAATCGGCTGAAAAATGTAGGAAATCCGATCCAATATATAAACGTACAGACACACACACACAACCTGGGTTTTATAAGTATGATATATGATGGACTCTCCCGTCAATTTCAACGTATGAGAATCCGACAACGTTATTCAGTTTTTATGCTTGTGTCGTATGTGATATTTTAGTCCGGCTAGTGACTTGCATACAAGTCCACATATTGTGCAGGATCTTGGAACATAGACCCAGGAATATTTGCTGGTGCTTTTCGCCGTTTTCTTTCGCCTCTTAGCCGGTCAATATGACAAAACTACGCTGGTGTAGGCTTTAAGAAAGACAAGGTTCGCGTATAGTGTCCTGTTATAGTCCCAGTAAACAGAAATAGCTGAAAATGGCTCTCTCAAAGAGGAGAGTAACAAAACAAAGGAGAGATGATTCTTGATTATTCATAACACTTGGTTCATACGTCATTGCCTAGAAGGTGAAGGTCGTACAAAATGAGTGCGGTGTCCTTTTGACACATTGTTTTTTGGCAGGAACGAAGATTAAACTTTGCCAAAAAGTTATGGGTAGATATTTAACTTTTATCAATATAACAAACAAATCCGGAAAAAAAGGAGGTAAATTATTCTAACGAAATCTTTGAGGAGATATAACGACTTCAATATAATGTTACCTGAAATGATGAATAATTTAATACGAAAATCTTTGGACATGCAGCCATTTACCTTCCCAGGTCGTAAGATGCAAATCTCAGCAAAAATCTGAACGTATCTAATAAGGTCTCCTCAAAAATGCGACGCCAAACATGCTATTTGCTATTTTTGCCGACACGTGACATTTTGATCAGTAAAAAATAAATTTTCCTTTAGATTTTTGAAGGTTTCTTGAATGTTTTTAATATTTTTTCAACAAAAGATATAATAATAATTTTCTACCTTTTGTATTTGATATTTAATTATGCTTAGCTTAGTTTAGCCGCAGGCTACAAACGTGGCGTATTCTGCATCGATAAATCTCGCCATATCCGTTAGTCCTGGGTAAGACGATAAACTAAAGTAAGCAAGGCCTCTGATAGGGAGACTGGGGGTTTTGAGAGGCCTGGAACAATCTCATAATTGCTGTTATTCGCAGTTCCACTCTGACAAGGGATGGTAGGGTCCTATCTATGTGTTAATAGTGAACTCCTATACAAAAATAAACACTATATTAGATTTCGGCATTAAATAACCCATAAAAGCATTGCTAAGCCGCTAAACAAAGTCAAACAGCCATATTCGCAAGAGTCTACGAGACTACTGACTCCGTAGAGAGACATCTAGACGCTATTGATATTTATGAAGTTTAACTTAATCTTTAAAATGTGCCGGCAGCCGTTAGCGACTCAGAAAAGTGAAATTAATGAGACCAGTACGAATTCTTATCGAGTTTGTCAGGTTGGTTGGTTGATTTTATTTAGCGGTATATCAACATCTCTATGGGTTATTTAATGCCGAAATCTAAATATTTGGAACAAAATTTTATGGCTTCAACTAAATATATTTTGAAAGCAATTGTATGTCTTCAACTAAAGATAAATTGTATTGTTGGACATTTTGATTTAAATATGTATTGTTGGTTGGTTGATTTTGTTTAGCCGGTATATCAACATCTCTATGGGTCATTTAATGCCGAAATCTAAATAATTTGAATGCAATTTATGCCTTGAACTACAAAGAAATAGTATTTTGTGTCATTTTACTATAAATATGTATTGGTCATTTTTTATATAAAAATGTATTGCTGGTATTTTTACTATAAAAATATATTTGCACACAATTGTCGGAGTTAGCTCCTCCTGTAGTTCCTTAATCCTTCAACAGGGGTCTCTCTTCCCTGGCTAGAAATACTCGCTGACCCTTTGCCTCGACCTCTCTTTTTCCTCAGGCCTTTGGGCCGCCACCTTGAGGTAAATCTCTTTTTATCTCGGGCCTTCAGCCTTATACCGCTTCGCAGATGTGAACGCTCACAGATACAGCGTTTCCTAAATGCTGGGAACACGCTAAGAACAATACACGTACGTACGAACACTCACCACAACACAACACACACATATAATATTCACCACACGCACTATGTCCATGTAACTTGTAACCTTTCTTGTTATTAATACATATATTTGTTTACATATATTTATCGATCTTTTTCTTGTCTTGTTTGGACAGCTTTTTCATGTAGCAGGAAAATTCTACCCACATGTCTACCTCTACAATACGTACTCATCTATTTATACTCAACATCGCCGACATTATCATAGTGTTTTGTTTTTGTTTGAAGCTCATAACTGGGATGCTAATAGGTTCTAACCCCCCCCCCCCGGAGAAGGGTGTACCTGGGAGCAACAACTATTAAGAGGCTGTTCCATGCTCCTCAGAACAGCCAATGTCCCGATCAGAAGCCTTTCTACCAGATTTAGTTTATCTTCATACTCAGGACGTCGTTAAGTTGAATATTCTTGGTATGAACATCTATTCTCCCCCCAGCTATAGGTTAAATAACAGGACTTACTAGATTAAGAGAAGGAAAACTCTGAATTCAAAGCAAGCCAGAAGAGAGATGTACTCCTTTGAAGAAGTTAGATCTAACCGTAGGTTCTATTCTAATAGTTTCTTCTCTCGCACTTCTCACCTGTGAAAATGTCTTTCGGTTTCTTATTTCCCTGCCACCAACAAGCTTCAAAAATTTAAATGCAGCCACAATCGCCATCTTCTGTCTTCATGAATCATGTTTTTTATTGTCCTTTCTCCTCTCTAAAGTCTTCTCACTTACTTTCACTCCCAGTAACCCCCCTTGCGTCTTAGTCGCATTATCGCCATCTTCTGGCTTTATGAAACCTGTTCTTTTATTGTCCTTTCTCCCCACTAACGTCTTCTCATTCTCTTTCACTCCCAGTAACCCCTTGCGTCTTAGTGGCATTATTGCCTTGCTTGGGTTGAAATGGTCTTACAGTCACATCACGTTGAAACACCGGTTACATTACGATCTCCGAAGTTAAGCCACATCTAACCTGGTCAATATCTAGATGGGTGACCGCTTGTGAATTCCAGGTGTTGTAAGATTGAATGTGCAGGTGGTGCATTGAATAACGACTCGGAATTGGAAATTGGAGAGCCGTGTTCCAATTCCAGTCGGGTTCGCTATATTCACTTACGCGCTCGTCACGTTTTCATTGAATCCATGTGCACACTGACTAGACTAAGGATTGAACTCAGATGTTACCAAATTCACTAGTCCTGGGTATGACGATCAACTGCATCCGGCAGCAATGCCTCTGATTGGGAGTTTGGAGCTTTTGAGGAGTGTAGAACTGTTATTCCCAGGTCTACCTTGACCCAGCTATACCCCAGTTGATACCCTTGGGAAAGGTATGAATTCACCTATGGGTTAATTAGCAAGACTTGTATCATTGAAACTATTATTATCTCAAAATAATTTCGACATTGAATAACCCATAGAGGTGTCGATATGCCGTTAAAAAAAAAACAAAAAAAAAACACACACACACACACACAGCCAACCAATTAGGTTGAAATGATTACAAAAAGATTTGATCAGTCCGATTATTGAAATTTAAATTTAAAGCTAAGCGTCCCTATATATTCAGTATTTCGCGATGCAAAATTATAACCAGTGTTTATTGTATTAATCTCCCCCTCCAATTAGAATCTATCAATAAAATCTTTATTAGTCTGAAGAAGACATTTCGAGAGACGAAACGTATCATGGAAGAGTTTTATTTCATTTTGTCATTCAAGTACACACTATTATGTGAAGGCAGTTTGAGCAGTAAGCAGGTTAGGTCGAAAGTTCCAAGTTCTAAACTCACGATTGTCCTACGTAACAATATTCTAGCGGATTGGTTCACGAATTTGATGACATCGTAAATGCGAGTTCAATCCCTGGGTCGGGTAATGAAAAAAATGTCAGTGGAAAAAAGAATGAGCAATAACTAAGCGGCAATGAATAAGAATAAAGCTAGGTATACCAGACGTTGGCAGCAGAACGAATATATCGTCTTGGGTATGACGATAAACTACATCCGGCAGCAAGGCCTCTAATCGGGAGGCTTTGAGGAGCGTGTAACCACCTCTTAATTACTGTTGTTCACAGATCAATCCTGACTTGGGGTGGTAGCATCTGTTAGGGTTTCAACTATGGGCAAATAGTGAATGCCAAACTGAGGTCAAAATACTATGAAAGTATAAAAATAGATTTTTATAGTAAAAATTCCAGCAAGACATTTTTGTAAATAAACAAATATTATCAGCAATTTAGGCATGAAATGACCCATAAGGATTTGATATGCCACTAAATAAACAAAGAAACAAGCAAACAGAGTAAGTACAATCTACCCATATTTGTAATAATAAAGCGCAGTGTACGTGTGTCCGTCCGTCTCTCCATTTTTTGATCTCGACGAAACATAGACAACCTGAAGTAACTACTGTAGATACATGCGATTAAAAATTAAATAACTCATTTAAAGTTAAATTTAAGTGAAAGGTTTATAAAACAATTCTTTATTAAAGGTTTAAATTTAATTTCGCTTTTTGTCGCGACTGCAATTGATATCGTTTAATTAAATCATAGTTAAACTTCAACGGGGCACGGTACGTTGCTCATATGACATTTTTTTTTCTTTTTTAGCACGCATACTGTAACGTATTCGAAATATTACATAGTTTGGGTTCCGTAATGTCTTTTAAGAATGTCTTTATGTGAAGTGATCATAAAAAATGGTGATTTAAAAAGGAAAGAATAATTTCGCGCTAAATAAATGTAAACAAACTACAGAGATCGGCTGTGTATACGAAGAAAGATTATGCCGAATTAAGGTGTCGAATAAAGATGAAATAATTTTATTATTTCTAAATTCTTATAACTTTTACGTACATAAGACGCTGAAGGTAAAAGATCGAAGGCCCCAAAGCTCTACGCAGCAGCTAGCTTAAAGTCCGCCCTAACGAAGGTTTCTAGGCTAGTTGGTTAAATAAGTCGTTCAGTTACAAATTCCCTGAAAGTTACCTGGACTGACGAGTCGCTGAAAAGGGCATACTTGCCGAAACGTTGTGATAATAGCAACAAAGATGAGGACAATAGTCGGAACTTACATACTGTTGGCCTGGTCTGTGTAATACCTTTTTATCATTAGGTATATTTCTATGAATTCCTTATAAGAAAAAACTTTTCGAAACGAATAGAATGGATTATTTTGCAGTCAATTTTGATGTCGAAGTAAAACTTGTCAAAACTTATACAAAATGATTTATAAATTTTCGCACGAATATAATTTTCGACATAAAGTTAATTCGTGGCCAATTCTTGTAAAAGAAAATCTCTTGGATAGCTATAAAAGTCTGGGCCAGGGTTGTGTGGCTGGTGATGTTCAGTCTGTCGAAAGCGGACGAAAAGTATTGGCCAGCGGAACAGAGCGCAGTATGACATCGTTAACTTCTCCTCGGCATATACATTCCACATAAAGGCCAGCAAGGAACGGTCTTTTCATCAGGGATTTTATCCTGATACACCGCAGTCGTGTGCTGCCAATTTAATCGGGAGTCTTGTTCATTGCACAACCAGGGTCGGGGAAGGCTGGAATAGTCACCTCAAACGCACATCTTACCCAACTCTCTACTTAATCAGTAACCAGACTCTTTCTTCAGCTTCGGTTCTAACTATTCGTCCCCAACGCGGATTCAGTTGATGTCCTGTAACGCTAAGGTAATGTTTCAGGTGTATGCTTACTTGCATCTTAATTTCGTCATTACGGCCAGCCAGCCTCTGATCCTACACCCATTGTCTCATTTCAGGCTTTGTAAGTCGAGTTGATGTCACCTGCAAATGAGAGCACCTCATCGCTCAACAATGGAGTGTCACGAAGCCGCGAACGCGGGGTGCAGAGGTGGAGGCCAAATTCATCAATATTTACCACTTTGATGAAAGACTTACCTTCCTCGTCTTGTAATCCGGAGAAAGCCATCGCCGCAACCATCGCTTCGGAAAAGTTCTTAGCCCGACCCTGTCGCTAGGAAAGCCAGCAGGTGGTGGGTGGATGTGAGTCCTTTACCTGTTTAAAAGAGATAATTGTATTTCAAAACCCGGTTTGGGACGCATAGTCAGTCACTTGAACAGTCATATGGCCGATTCGCTATCTTTGACCGGTCGCAGTTAGATGCACGAATTTCATATTCACCTACTTTCGTCTTCTTTGCTATCATACTTTTCTTTCTTTCTTTCTTTCTTTCTTTCTTTCTTTCTTTCTTTCTTTCTTTCTTTCTTTCTTAGTTATTACCCTTAAATAGATTCTTTCTTTCTTTCTTTTTTTCTTATGAAAGTCATATAACTTAGCGTTTTTGTTTTACCTAGTTTTCTTCTTTCTTTCTTTCTTTTTTAGTGATTACCATTGACTAACTTCTTTCTTTCTTTCTTTCTTTCTTTCTTACTTTTGAATGTCATAAAACTTATCAGTGTGTTCGTTTTCTTCTAACTTTTTCTTTCTTTCTTTCTTTTTCTTTCTTTTTTAGTTATTATCATTTATTAACTTCTTTCTTTCTTTCTTTCTTTGTTATTATACTTAAATAGCTGTTTTCTTTCTTTCTTTCTTTTTTAGTTATTACCATTAAATAGCTTCTTTCTGTCTTTCTTTCTTTCTTTACTTTCTTATTACACTTAAATAGCTTTTTCTATCTTTCTTACCTTTGAAAGTCCAACAACTTATCAGTGTGTTCATTTTACCTGTTTTCCCTTTAGTCTTTCTAACTTCCTTCACTTTCCTTCTGCATCTCTCTGTCCTCCTCCTCCTCCCCTGTGCTTTTCTATAGTTTTCTCTTTCTTTCTTCACTCCTTTCTCTCAAATGACAAATACGTGTGAAGGGTACAGATAATAATGTCGAGATCACACCTACTGCCGGAGATAAAAGCGACCGCCCGTCCATTGTACCGAGATAAACACATTTCCTTAACAGCCTTCGTTTGCAATGGAAATGCTTCCTTAATGTATTCGGTGAGAGAAAGAGAGAGAAGGGGGAGAGAGGGAGAGAGAGAGGAAGAGAGAGCGAGAGTCTTAGAGAGCAGACCCCCACCCCTCAATAATTACGTGATCAGATTAACATAACAATCAGCATTGTTCACTTTTTGCTCGTATTTAAAGCTTTTCTTTTCTCGTTCGAATCAGTCGTCCAGAGGAACACAAAAATTCAACAGGTTTAACTTTGGACAACTTAACCGAGGAAGTTGCCGTACCACCGAGAAAACAGATAAAAAGCATCTTCATCTTACTTCTTATTTATTACTTTATTTATGAAATCATGCAGTGGTGTGATGGTTACCGAGCTCGATTTTCGTTTGAGACCATTTAGGAAGGCTTGAGACAATTATTTCCTGAACAATTATTTCTATTGTCGTATACCTTGATGAAACCTCTAGCTTAGAACTGCATAAATATTTACGGTAAATGACTGAACAGTGAGATAGAATCAGATATAGAGAAAGATTTGGCGTTACAACTCTTTGATTGATTAACTGATTCGTTTTTTGAAAGCATAAATTATCTACAAAATATTTAGATTTTAGCATTAAATAACCCACAGAGGTGTTGATATGCCGCCAAACAAAATCAATAAAACCAATAAACGGGAAAGAACTCTTTCATGACATTAATCCATATAATATCCGACAATTTCTTAAAGAAATCAAACTGTATTCCAAAATATAACTTCAACAAAACTACAACATAAAACAGATATATCTCCATCTCTAGTAATCATGTCTACACAAACATGTATATGCACAAAAGCGGAGTATCATCTACCATGTATTCGATTGTGAAAGCAGAATAACATATATCGTATTTTTATTACTTAAAATCTCCCAAGAAAATTATATTTCGGCATTAAATGACCCAAAAGGTGTTGATATGGTATTAAACAAAACCAAATTCACGAAATAATGATTTAATCCATTAGGCCACGTGACAGTAATTGTAGCGTGTATCTGTTTAACGAAATTTTGTTGTTTATCAATACTTTGCTTAGCTTCTGGAAGACATCTTTTGATATCCTTGGATTTCTTTCTGAAATATTCGTTGGATAAAGACATGCTTCCGCAAAATTAAATTTTGGAGGCGCGATCAATGACTGAACTTAATTCTGACTTTTCGAAATAATCAATTTTGTGTAATTGATTATTTCGAAAAGTTCTCGAGGACCCCATTGAATAATTTCCGAAGCCCTTATGCAACCCAAGGGTTGTATTTTGTGCAGGCCAGGATGAGTTCTATATGTGTCGTGTCCTCTCAAGACACAAGTAATCATGGTTCTCCACAGCTTCTTGTCATTTGTAACCCTTAAACATTGTCTTTCTCTTATTTCTACTAAGTTCTGTTCCGTCATTCATTTTCAAAAGCTGATTATGTTATACGTTGTCTTTCTCTGTCCCTCTTGCCCTCTATTTGACCTGTGAGTATCAGATTTTCCAAGCCCTCCTTCCTCATTATGTTCCAAAGAAACCTCAACTGTCTCTTCCTGATGTTAAGTATGAGTTTACATTTTGTTTCCATTTTCTCTAAAGCTTCGTCGTTACTCACATATTAGGTTCAGGGTATCCTCAGCATCCTTCTGTAGAACCACATTTCTGTTGCTTCAAGTCTCTTCTTTATCTTTGAGGCAATCGTCCAGCACACATTACAATACAGAAAGACAGATATCACGTAGCAATTTAATTCTCTTTTCCTTGTTTCTAGTGAAATTTTCCTATTTCTTATTACTCTGCTTAGCTTTTAGAATGTTTCATTAGATATCCCAATACGCCTTTCGATTTAATTGTCGCTCTTTCTGTCCTCTGTTAAACCACTTCCCAGATCTTTTAATCTCCGCACTTGTTTGATATGTCCTGTGAGTATCAGATTTTCTAAGCCCTCCTTCCTCACTAGCAGCAAATAGCTTTTACACCCATTGTCAACCATGACATGGTCCTATCAATTTAATTTATACCGTAAAGAAGCGTACGCCTTTATTGTCATATTCATGACGTTTCGTCTGTTGTACGTATCGGCCTTCTTCAGGTGATATACGTTGGAATTTACTTTTCATTATTTCAACTTGAATTTCTTGTTGTTCCAATCTGAACAACTTAAATCTAGTATTGTTTTTGGAACAAGATAAGAAGAACTATGTAATATTTCGAATATATCACAGTACGCGTGAAAAAAAAATATGAGCAACGTATTGTGCCCACTTAAGATACAATTACGGTTTAATTAGACGATATAATTTATAATTGCGACGAAAAGCGAAATTAAAGTTAAACCTTTAATAAAGAATTGTTTTTTTTTTAAGCTTTCACTCTGTTCGATATTTAAATTTAACTTTAGTTTATTTATTTAATTTTTAATCTCGTATAACTACAGTAGTTACTACATGTTACTTCAGATTGTTTATGATTCGCCGAGATCGAAAAACGGACGGACAGACACACGTACACTGCGCTATATTATTATAGATTTGTTTGGATTTTATTTATTCTTGGAAAGGTAGCCGAGGGTATTTGCATTCATAATGATCTGAGGTTGATGCGAATATACATTGAAATATTAAACTAATCAGCCAAGAGTTTAGTTCGTCAATTGAACACAGAAAATCTACAGAGTTGCTGTCAAAATTATTGCATTCAACTTTCAAACGGATCATAAGATTATGCCGTCAAACTTTTGACGATTTTCAAAAAGAGTTGGATTAGTTGGAGACTTTGGTTTGTTGTTTCAATCAGTGTTTGACACTGCAGAATACTTCAAGCGAATTCTTCCTCCCTTAAAATTCCATAGACTTGAAAGACGGAGGCTTTTCTTTGGCCAAACAATACCGCACTTTCAGTGAGAATAATTCAACGAAATTTTAAGGCTGGCTTTTCTTTTACATCGTCATGCAGTCGCAAAGATTAAAGTTTTCGATGAATTTATCTCTTCTTTTCACGATAAAAGCTCGAGCAGAAAATGCTCATTAAGCTTTTCAGAAGCGAAACAAAATCATTGTCACAGTCCGATTGATCTTAAAATGACTTTGTTTCAGAGATAAGACTCAGTCCAGTACTTGGCGATTTTCTATTGTTGTCAGCATACAATGTGATTATTGTCATATTTTTTTAAATAAATAAAAGGATATAGGCGCTCGAATATTTCGCCTTGTGTGCAAAGATATTGAAACGGCCTAAACAAAAGGTTATTTTCTGCGGGTGCCTAATAAGAGCAGAAATAGACTGCTACTTTGCGTTACTTACAAAACCCCGTTAAATGCGAAGTAGTTGTCTTTGAAAAAACCATTAAAAATCACAACTGCTTCTCTTCAGTAATTACCATTTCAATAACTGTTTTTACAAGGGAGTGCTAGAAAAAAATTCTGTTATTTAGATTCTGGTAAGTGGGTCGTGCTGGGAACGTGTCATTACACACACTCTCTCTCTCTCTCTCTCTATATATATATATATATATATATATATATAGTCGACACTCCCCCGTCGAGTTCGACGTATGAGGGTCAAGCAGATCAGTTCCCAGGAAACCGACAGCCCGACAACGACACATGAGTTTTGATTATAGTGGTGAAGGTTTCGTGCAGGACCATCCACACTTTTTGAAGGGCCGAATTCAGAGACCTGGTGCACTACGTGCCACAATGTCCCCAAACGACCCTCCGCAGGTTTTGAATTCAGAGTTGCCCTTCTCTCTCTCTCTCTCTCTCTCTCTCTCTCTATATATATATATATATATATATATATATATATATAAGAACCCTTAAGGAAAAAAATTCTGGTATAAAACACTAGAATTCTATATAAATTACATTATCAGAAATATCTCGCTATTAGAGAGGCCCTGTATATCAAACATTTCTCTCTTACTATCATCCTCAGATTATTTAACAGTGGAAAGGGAGTGTTGAAAGTTTTCTTTAAAAAGAGAAAGATGCTCACACGAATTCTAGCCGCGCACAACATGTGAAGGCTCAGAATGTATGCTCCTATTCAAAACTGCATAAAAACAAATTACAACGTAAAAGTCAAAACTTGAAAAACAAATAACAATACCAGAGACAAAACAGCCTTGAAAATGGATAGAGAACTGGCCGAAAGCATTTGAGGCAATAAAAATTATGTAAAATGTTTGTACCCCCTTACTTCTACAAAAAGGAAAAAGGCAAGGAAGGTGGAAAAACTTAATAAAAACTTAAATAAATTTTCTATGTCGGCCGTATTTAATGAAAGATGTTTGAAAGAAAGTTTGCTGCCCAAATATACATTAATCTATCTATCTATCTATCTATCTATCTATCTATCTATCTATCTATCTATCTATCTCTGTCTCTCTCTCTCTCTCTCTCTCTCTATATATATATATATATATATATATATATATATATATATATATATCCTCCTTGGGATTATCCATACGGATTACCAAACTTTTCATTACTTATATATATATATATATATATACGAACGGATCTATTACCTGTATATATATATATATATATATATATATATATATATATATATATATATATATATATATATATGGTCCACATGTACTTCTTATAATATGTTGATTTAATAGACCCGTTAATGAAATTTGAAGAATAAAAAGACAAAAAAAATGATAATAATATTGGCAGTAAGATTAATGGTATTTATTATATATTACTAGGCCTTTTTGCTAAATTCAAGCACGAAGAGAAAAAATTTAAAGTCGGAATTTTCGGACACGCCTGTGTACTTTTTCAACGAGACGAGAAATAAACAAAGTAGGGCTCACTCTTCCGATGAATGTTGTTGTTGTTGGTTAGAGAGTTGCCTGTGGAAACTATATTCCCTGAGTAAATCTCTATTTAATCCTTTAATATGTAATTCTATTTTGAAAATATATTTTAACTCCGATCTGCGTCGTTCTTGCTGGCTCTTAAACGAAGACGCTAAAAGTACGCATCTGATGTCATCAATGCTATGGAACGGTAGGTTGAAGTGTGCAGCTTCACTTTAAAATTTTTCTCTTCGTTCTTAAATTTAGTCAAAAGGCTACAATAAATACCAGCAATCTTATTACCAATAGTGTTGTCATTTTGCTGTCTTTTTATTCCTTAAATTTCATTTAAAGATTGTTTAATAGAACTAAGATCAGAAAGGTGACAGGTAAATCTACGGAAGAGCGTGGTTGCAGTAATATATATATATATATATATATATATATATATATATATATATATATATATATAACAGAGAGAGGTTGACGGTACATGAATGCACACACGCAAATATAACGTTTATTGATTGAAGATGGAAAAACATGATCTTCCGTGAAAGTTACAAACTGTGTCAGTGCTATTAATAGGAAAGAATCTAGAACATTGATATATGAAACCTGAGACGGCTGATGGATAAAGAATAAATTTCAAATCGGTTTGGCGATGACTTGTTTATAAACAAATGCAAAAGGGCAGGAGGCGATGTTTAATTTGGATCATTAAAAAAAAAATTGACGAAAATAATATTTTTGATAAAAACATATTGAAGTAAATTGGACCGGGGAGGTAAGATCAGTGTATGTTTACCGCTAGCGAAATCTGATCTAAACATAAGTTGTATCCGCTGAATTTGGTCATCGAAAAAACAATTGAAATGAACATTGAACTAATTAATTTTATCCACTAAGAGATTTGAAATAGATCTGAATTTAAACGTTGCTTATGGCGACACTCGTGTTAAGCGCGTGAACAACCTGGATTATAATCTTCCGTTTGCTATATAAACGCGAGTTTTGCTGAGTTGGGGAGACTTAAAGTTAGACTTGGACGTTGAGAGAGAGAGAGAGAGAGAGAGAGAGAGAGAGAGAGAGAGAGAGAGGAGAGACCGTCGTTGCAGTTAGTCGGTCCAGTGGCGAGTCAGAGATAAGGACTTCAAGAAATATCATCGTTGTTGTAGCAGTCACATTGAAAAGTCGCTGAAACTTAACGTTTGTCACTTACGACAACCAACTGAAAAGCTACACTTCCACGTAGGGCTGGAATTACGAGTCACATATCCTCCCAAGTTGATTTGGAACGAAGTTAATCACACACACACACACACACACACACACACACACACACACACACACACACACACACACACACACCTCTGTTATATAATTGGTAGAGGAATGGTCCTCTGTTTTTATGTTAATTGCTTTCTATCCTTTCTGTAAACTCTTTCACTGTTGTTGTTTTCTTTATATAAAAGACATCAATATTTTACCCATTGTTGTTCGGCTTTGCAGATATTATTTCCTTGTTTGCCACATTCTAATTTTCCTGCCACCCACCATCACAGCCGTGCCTACATCCCCAATCGACTGTGAAAAACAGACAACATAAATATTGGATCTGGATCTAAAAACGAGCAGCAGGCGGAACTTTGCCAGTGACCGGTTGAAGAATCTACGGGTACTCAGGGAGCGTGCGGCCAGCTACCCTGAGTTCGGTTCAGACTGAGTGGGCGCCTCAACCCAAAGAGGAAGACGCCGGAGGTTGAGGGGCTGAAGGGACTAGTGGTATATATATATATATATATATATATATATAGGCCTAGTTTCCAATAACCATTACAAATGACGTCACCATAAACTTTTTCAAACTTTCAGCTTTCAAAAAAAATACCAGGATGTAGGAATTCTGTCTATCACAGAATCGTCATATTGTTTCTTGAAAATGACGGAGATGGTGGACAATTTCGATCACAAAACTCAATACCGTATTCGAAAATTGAAAATTGTTTATATATATATATATATATATATATCAGTCGGGATCAATAATCAGATATGGATTGGAAACCAACAGAATGGTAAGATAAAGAACAAATAGGAAACATTCATAAATCAACATGCAAAAAAACAACAAACATGTCTACTACTAATACTACTACTAGTAATACTACACACACACACGAATATACATTGCCATCTGATTCATACATAGTCAAAATAGAATTATTATACATTTACATAAAGTAATATTTAGAGGTTTTCAGTTAGGCTTTGGATCCATTAGTTCTTAGAAACTTTGAATTTGAAACACAACAAATTATACTACCGTTTATTTAACAACTCAGATGAACGCGAGACATAACTGACCAATAAAAAATCAAACAACACAAAAAGAAAAATATCACAATTTTTTCTTCCTTTTCTCTATATCTTATTCTCTGCTGAAGCTTTAGTAAAAGTGAAACATGTTAGTTTCATAAATGTTTCCAATTAGTTCATTATCTTTACGTTTCCAATTAGTCCTTTATATATATATATATATATATATATATATATATATATAGGAATGGGTAGGATAAAAGTATACATTAACGCACAAATACTTGCACGTATTCTTTAGGTATTATAAACAGAGTGATCAATGTTATGAAACAGAGCCATTAAGTATATATTATTGGATGTACATAATAATCAATGTCGATAACACTAATCGGAGTTTCATGCAGATGATATATATATATATATATATATATATATATATATATGTGTGTGTGTGTGTGTGTGTGTGTATATAGGCAGCAATCCTTTCTTTCATGCACAATTCATTGAAAACGACAGACAAGGTTGTTTTATTTAGTTTTTTTTATACAATTTCTCATGCGATCAAATAACTTTTTTCTTTTCGGATGATAAATGATATAAAAACTGTCCGAATGTTCTTTTTATCCGAGCACTTTCGGTTATACACTTAGACATTTTCAAGGATTAAATATTTTAACTGATAAATGAGAAATAGTTTGTTGTATGTATGTTTTATAAAATGTTTTTTTCATTTTTCAAATCACGGTCATTATATTATGTCCATGTTCAAAGTTAATGCTATTAAGTGTTGGTTTCTTTGCTTTTATTCATTAAGGCTTCCATTATTTTTAACCTTTTCTTGCATGTAGATGATGCTATTATATTAGTGTTGTCAACGGTTTTGTTACGAATAGTGCCCGGTAGGTTTCCATAAATATTTAAATGAAATCTAATTGAGCTATTGTCAGAAAAGTGAAGAGTTAGTCTGCGTGTCAAACATATTGTAGTGTGGCCTATATAATTATTTGCGAATTTTGATTGATCAGTAATACAATTCCTTAATGGACATTTAAATTCGTAAATAATATTTGCCCTATTTAATTTTGTTCTAGAAGGTGAATTATTATTTTTAACTATAAGGTTAGAGGTTTTAAATTTTTTGTAATAAAAATATATATATATATATGTGTGTGTGTGTGTGTGAGTGTGTGTGTGTGTGTAGGTAATAATCCATTTGTATATAATCCAAGTGAATCCTAATAATATAAAATATTAACACTGATCCACACACAGAGCTCAATGTATTATAACAGAGCATATAAATTACATAGAATAGAAATCCAAATTTACCTCATTCGAATAGCTATTTCTGCTAACTTTATTTGTTGGCTTTGTCAACTCAGACGTGTGAAGAAATAAAATAGGAGCTTAAAAATTTAAAAATTGAAATTGGGAAAATGTCATTAACTGTTATATGAACTTTAGTATGTTGTTGCTATATTCATAATGAATGTTGAGTGTTGGTTGGTTGCCTTTGATATAGTGGACATCGAGAATTTGAAGTTTATTATTTTCATAGTATAGCATATTGTTATCAACAAGTATTTTTCTGTGTTGTGAGAGTGGACAGGAATGTGTCCTTAGATGTTGTGCAATAGAACTTGTATCCGCCAGATGAAGTGTAAAACGTCTTGATAATGTTGTGGTCGTCAAACCAACATATGTACATTTTTGTCAGAGATACAATCCTCCAATGTAGATATGAGGCCTAAATATACATACATATATACATACATATATATGATTAATCAATATCTGGGCATCAAATTTTCTTTAAAAACATTTTTTGTTAAATATGACGGAGAAGGTAAAAATTTATTAATTTTTATTTAGTTTTTCCAGCGTTCTTACATTTCTTCGTTTAGTGGCAATGAAGGAATACAAAAACCGTCCATATCGTCCATTGTCCAAAGCGCATTCGGCCACTTCTTTAGCCATTTTCAAGAGGGGGGTGATTTTGATGTAGTTAGTTTACTTTCATGATTTGACTCTGTGAGATGTATTATTTTCGAATTATATTAACAGCGATTTTAACAGCGATATTAACAGCGATTCCGAGTCATCGTTTGTTGGGCATGGCTGTATTTTGTGTGGACGACTTTTCTTTTTTTACACACACACACACACATATATATATATATATATATATATATATATATATATATATATATATATATATATATATAAGAAATATAGTCTTAAGATGTGCTATATTTATGGGATAAAGTGCTCAATATCAGATAGAGCGTGTGTAAATATATATATATATATATATATATATATTTTTTTTTTTTTGAGCACCAAAATTGCTGCTTCTTTTTTCGTGGTTTACTGGTGGGAAAGCATTTTAAGCAGGCATTTTTGTTATAAACTGCTCGATATCAAAAGGTAAAGATAGAGCGTTAATGTGGAGAAACTTATCACTTAACTGAGTCGTGTTGGTATATATATTAAAAAAAAACTATTATGTAAATTTTTGTAACTTTGTATAATATTTATGCATTACGCCATAATCTTTATTCGGTAAAAATTTCATTTAATCATGCATTACTTTTTTAAGTAATACACATTTATGTCTTTGTTGTTTCCGTTCCTTATAGTATGGGCTACTATATATATATATATATATATATATATATATATATATATATATATATATATAATTTTAAGGCTCCATTATAATAGTTTATTTCACCAGGAGCTTTAAATATTCCCTGGATCTTCAGACATCACTTTCAAAATGTGAAACGAAAAATGAAATTAAAATTTACACTTTTGATGGGCAGTATTAAGCTTATATAAGTTAACATAGAATTGCGAGGAATAGAGTGAGAGACATGGTAGAGTTTAGAGAGGGAAGGGAGAATTTTAAAATTTATTTTTAAATTTCTTTCTATTATAATACTTAATATTGAAGAAGGAGGTGGGTAAGGATCCGACCTTGACCTATTTAATCGGCCAACTCAACGGAAATTTTATGGGTAAAGGGAAGGAAAAAAGGAAAAAGAAAAAGGGAGAAGTAAAAAGAAAAGAGATGTACGTAGGTTTTTCGGAGGAAGAAGAGGGAAGGTATAGCTTTAGCAATTTAGATAAAAACAAATTTTAATGTTTGATAGTAATTTAAATTTAAAAAAAAAACATGAGGAAATTAATTTAATGCTTGTCAGCAATTTAAATATTCGACTTCTCCACAAATAAATTAGGGATTTAATATGAGTTGAATACTATATTAATAAACAACAATCATAAAAAATATAAAAGTTTACTAATATTAATCTTTCAAAAAAAGTTCTCTAAAAGATTGTTTTTTTTAAAATTATTATTAGGTGGCATTAGGAGTGTTTAGTTTAAATTTTCCTTCAGATATAAAATAAAATAATATTTGATTGTATTGTAATAGTTGTCATACGCGAATCTCAACCGAGTCAGTTGCGTTCACTTTCAAATAAATACCCTTGGAAGGATATAAATTTAAATCTTGCCTAGGTCTCAGCCAGGAATTAATAATCAGGCCCTTTAAACTTGTTTGGCAATCATTCTAAGTCAATTCTGAATTAAAAATTGGTTTGACGTGGGGCTGGCAAATCTATACAGAAAAAAAAAACCTATTTACCACCAATCCCTCGATAGCTACACCTAGAGTGGTGAAGCTGTGGCCCTATATTCTAATGGGGTGTCTCAGGACATTTCACTCCCAAGCAAAGCGGGATGCCACTAGGATGCAAGGGGGTTACATGGAGTGAAAGTGAAAGAAAATACTTATTATGAGGAGGATTGAGGAAAGGTCAAATGATGAACGGGATTCAAGAAGAAAAAAGCGATTGACGTTGCATTTACATTTTTGAAGATTGTAATTATCAGGGAAGCAAGGAAACGGAAGGGAGTTCCACAGGTGCGAAGTGCGAGAAAAGAAACTGTTGGAGTGGAACTGGCGGTTGCATTTAACTATTTCAACAGTAAACGGGTGGGACCTAGTTTCCAATCTAAAGGGTGACAACTAAAAAAAAGCGGCAAATTTATTATACCTGTTATGTTTTATCTTTTAAGATTACTTGACCTTGAATGACCTTGAATAAATTTCTTGAATATTCATGACCTTGAATAATCATTTGAATAATCTTTTGATTTATTAATAATTGATTAATTGCTGCTCGATTTTATGACTCGTTATTTAAATGTTATTTGCAGACAACTTTCGTCTTTTGTTCAGCCCTTTTTGTACGGCTGAACAACTCACCAATTTTGAGCGTCAAATTATCGTACATTTCAAAGAACATTCGACGTAGGGATTGACGAAATGTGCAGAAATTCTTCCTGAATTTTTCAGTCACATCAGTCGTCACCAGTTTTCAACGGTTGTCTCACATCTTTTATCGTTTTCTTTTACTGGGCACACTGTAAAATCGATGTATTTTCTGAAAGTAATTTTCTTCGGAAGGAAAAATAATGCCAATGAGCAAGGCTTCTTGCAAAATCGAAAAATAAAGAAAAAGAATTGGCAATATTTACATCGTCCGGGCTGTTGTCCTCATCGTTATTGTCATATTCACGACGTTTCGGCCGTTGTACGCTCCGGTCTTCTTCAGGATCTGTCTATGTTTCTGAGATAAGGTATTATAACTATTTACACTATTTACATTATTCGGACTATTGTCCTCATCTTTATTGTCATATTCACGATTTTTCGGCCGTTGTACCCTTCGGCCTCCTTCATAAATTGAAAGGCTATGGTATTATCGAGCGAATTTTTGAACTGATTTGTTATGCTTTTTCAGATATTTAACTCAACCTCTTTCAGTTCTTGTTTCTTTCGGGTTTTTCTTCAGTTTCTTCTTCAGATGAATAGCAGGCTCTATTGGGTTATTTGACTTGGCCTGTCTAAAACTGTCCACTTTTTCATCCTGATAAGTCATTTGTTTTATTCTCGGTAAGTTTTGGTTCATTGTCCTGCTGCATGATAAATTTCCTCCAGTTTACTTTGGATCCATGTTTCTGCAGACTTCTGAATTCATTCTGCTGCTACCATCATGAGTTCCATCATCAATAAATATCATCAATAAATATGAATGAACCTGTTCCAGAAGCAGCCATAACAGATGAGCTTCCGATCATAAGTAGAGCTTTTCTTTCGCAACACTTAATCTAGGTTTCATCTGTCAATAAAAATTCTTCCAGAATTTTTGTCGCTCATACTTCATTGCAAATTCCAATTTGGCCTTCTGATTCTTACAGCTGATGAGGAGTTACATCTTGTGGTATGGCTACTATATTTCTGCTCTCGAAGACTTGTAAATTGTGAAACCTTCACCTATGCCCTTCGGGGATGGTTGGTGAAGTCACTGACTGTTGTTTTGGGGTTTTTGCCCTCACAGCTTTCACAATGCTTTTGTCACCAACTGCAGTTGTTTTCCTTTGAAACCTGTTCTATGTCTGTTGTTCAGTACACCAGTAGCTTCTTTAAATTCCAAATTGTTGGGTTGTCTCCGTTCAATGTTTGTCCAATGGCTCTGATCTATTTTCTTTCTTTTCTAATTTTCAAAATGGCTTGCTTTTCTCTCGTCTTCATGTTGGTTTATCCTTTTTAACAAGAAATGCAGTCTCCCCTCTCTCTCTCTCTCTATATATATATATATATATATATATATATATATAGAGAGAGAGAGATAAAGACTATAGTTTAAGGTGTGCTATATTTATGGGATAAAGTGCTCAATATCAGAGATAGAGCGTATGTAAATGTAAGTGAATATTGAACAACACTCAGAGGCGACAGGCTGTTTCATGCTGGACGCAGTGTCGCTTCTGAGTGTTGACTTCGATGTTCACTTATATATATATATATATATATATATATAGCGAGAGAGAAAGAGAGAGAGAGACAGACAAACAGACAGACAGGCTGACAGACAGACAGGCAGATTGAGAGATGTGAATAGTCTGAGATAGATAGATACATAGATAGATATTAAACGCGTGTTGAATGCCTCTCTGGTGAGAATATCAAATATGAAATATATAAACAGTTACATGGGCAAGACGGATTAGGATTACAAAAGTACTTTGTAGACGCACCTTCGCTCAGAGGTGTGCACAAAGGCCCTGGCAAGTTGACAGACATCTGTTACAGTGGTACTACTACTAATACTATCTATCTATCTATCTATCTATCTATCTAGCTAGCTAGCTAGCTGGCTAGTTAGCTAGCTTGCTATTTCAGTCTGCTCTTATCTATCTATATATTAATATCTAACCTCTCTCTCTCTCTCTCTCTCTCTCTCTCTCTCTATATATATATATATATATATATATATATATATATATTTCAGTCTGTTCATATCTATCTATCTATCTCGGTCTGTTTCTATCTATCTATCTATCTATCTATCTATCTATCTATCTCGGTCTGTTTCTATCTATCTATCTATCTATCTATCTATCTATCTATCTATCTATCTATCTATCTCGGTCTGTTTATATCTATCTATCTGTCTATCTATCTATCTATCTATCTATCTATCTATCTATCTATCTATCTATCTATCTTATACATGCATGGACAAATACCGGCATAGTGTAAATTCAAAAGAATTCAAGATAAAATTAACTTGGATTAAATGTTTTAATCATTGTTTTAATTCCCAGCATTCATCTTCCATCGAGCGTTTGTAATTTATTGAAAATCTCTTTTCAGTTTGAAAACTCCACGCACTCCACTTAACAATGGAACGTATCCATAACAGATGCTCTCACGTAACGAACCTTAACCTTTGATTAAAACCCTTTGCTGGCAATCGACATCTCCCCTACGTAAATCCTTCATCCACTTTCTTCAGGGTACATCCCATCACCCCCACACTTGTCGATTAATCACATTTAATTTCATGTTATTCTTCACGTAATATCTTAATTTAAGAACCACATTTGTGTTTGTCGATAAATGAAATTGTTATATGAAGTTATCATGATAGTGGCCTCGGTACGTGGTATTTAGTTACAGATGAAAGCAATTCGAAGAACAAGAGAAACACAAGCAAACCTTTCAAGAGAATTAATAAAAACATGAACTACAAAGATGATAATATATTCAAAGGCTTGATGTGTATTAATTATTGAACAGGAAAAGATACCTACTCTAGAGACACGGGCCCTGAATGACAAGAAGTTTCCCTTCATCACCCGACACCGTCACATCCCAGGGAGTTGGGTGTGTTTTTTTTTGTTTTCCTACGTTTTTCTTTTTTCTTTCAGGTGATGACAGGGTGAAAATAGGAGAGGAAGACGTCTGTGTGTGTGTGCGTGTGTATGTGAGAGAGAAAAAGACGAAGACCAACAACACTCACTTATGCAAATGAAGTAGAACCACAGGTATTATTATTCAATGCAAATTCACCAGAACAACGTGTTGAAGACTCATGTTTCATAACTCTTACCCTAACCCGATCCCCACCGTCGGAAAGCAGCAGTGTCATCAACACTATCATTGGCACGCTTTTTCATTATTTCTGTTTTTACAAAACAAAAAAATAGGAAGAGAAAAGTGGGGGAGATAGAAGGTGGGATGCAGAGGAAATTTGCTGACATTAAAGGTGGGCTCTTTACCAAGGTACTCACCAATTTTTTATGCCCTTTATCTCATTTGCATAAAACCCCCATAAACCCTCACTTAAGAAATTAATTTATCTTTTTTCTTCCGCTATTTTTATGACACATTCGCGTCGTCATTGTCGTATTTATTGTTGTTGTTGTTATCTATTGTTAGACTGACCATTTTCCCCATTTTTTTTTCTTTTTTTTTCGTTGTTGGGTGGGGGTATGTTTTTCATCTATTCTTTTCATGACCTTCAGTTCCAGTCTTCTTCGTTTCAAACTTCTCTTACTGAACCTATCATATGCACCTGTCCATAGTCATTCTATTAAAAAGGATCATGATCTTAATCCGTCTTTCCGCTTTTTACGTGCGGATTGAAACTCCTCAAATCGGTATGAATATTTTGTTTCCCTTTTTATCATTAGCCATTTTATCGAGCAATTTTTTGTTCTTGATTAACATTCACCCTTGACCCTAAATATAGGACACCTTTTTTTTAAAAACAAAGTTCACGGTGTTATTATTATTTTTTTATATCTTATTTCGTATTCCGTCGTCCATCACTAAAGTAAAATTCAGTGCACATTTGTCGCACAAATTCTTGCATTACTGCATCCCAACCCGCCATACTATGTGCCGTGTCAATTCAAGATGTAGGCAAGAATGGCTCTCCACTATTTCCTGTCCTTTGTAGCTCTTAATAAATATTGTCTTTTTGTTATCTCTCCTAAACCTTGTTCCGCCATCCATTTACTCAAGCTCATTTTTTTCTTCTTGTGTGTGCTGTCTACCTTCAGGACGTAGGTGATCATGGCTCTCCACAATTTCCTGTCTTTTGTAGCTTTGAATAAATTTTATTTTTTTATTATCATTCCTAAACTTTGCTCCACCATTCATTTTGCTCAAGGTCACTAGATAGGTTATACTGTGTTTTTCTCAGTCCTTCTTGCTTTCAATCTGTCCTGTGAGTATCAATTTTTCCAAGCCCTCTTTCCTCATTATGTGCTGTAGACATTTCAACTGTTTATTCCTGGTATTAACTATAAGTGTCCTTTCTGTTTTCATTTTCTCTAAAACTTCGTCGTTGTTCATATTTTCTGTCCATAGTATTCTCAGTATCCTTCTGTAGAACCAGATTTCTCTTGCTTGAAGTCTCTTCTTCATCTGCATCCGGTATTTAGTGCCATATACGAGGACTGATATTACATAACAGTTCCCTAATGTTTGCTTTGTTTCTAACGAAAATTTCATGTTTCTTAATACTTTGTTTCTCTTTTAGAAGGCATCTTTTGCTATTCCAGAGCGTCTTCAGATTTCAGTCTCTCTCTGATGTTAAGTATAAGTATTCTTTTGGTTGTTACTCACATTTTCCATCCATGGTATTCCCAGTATCCTTCTGTAGAACCAAATTTATGTTTCCTCAAATCTCTTCTTCATCTGTGAGTAGATTCTCCAGCATTCACTGCCATATAGGAGGACTGATATTAATGTAACAGTTCAGTACTCTTTTCTTTGTTTTTGCTACTTCAAGTCTCTTCTTTATCTGTGAGGAGATTTTCCAGCATTCACTGCCATATAGGAGGATTGATATTACGTAATAGTTCAGTACTCTGTTTCTGTTGCATTGAGTGTCTTCTTCATATGGGAGAAGATTGTCCAGCATTCATTGCCGTATAGTAGGATTGATATTACATAACATTTCTGTACACTTTTCTTTGTTTCTAATAAATTATTTGTGTTTCTTAATACTTTGCTTAGCTTCTGGAAGGCATCTTTCTCTATCCCAATGCACCTTCGAATTCCAGTATCGCACATTTTCTCCTCTTTTATAGCACTTTCCATATAGTTAAATCATTGTACTTGTTTGATTTTGGTATCCCCTATGTGTAATTTATATTTTGGGCTTTTCCCTTTTGCTAACAACCATGCATTCTCTCTTTCTGCAGTTGATGTTTAAGCCTTTCTTCTCACTGTCCTTCAATACCTTCTGTTGGTGTCCTTATAATACACAGTTTTAATTTGATAAATCGTGGGAGATATATAGCCCCCCCTCTCTCTCCTCATATATATATATATATATATATATATAATACAAAATATTAAAAATATTATATATATATATTACAAATATTACGAATGTATATGCGTATAAAGCTCCGTAAATTTCAAAATTAGTTATTCCAAAATTTGATTGAGAATGATTTAATTTAATTTTTATAATTGAATTGGAAGTTTTTAGCTTCTGTTTTTGAAACATGGCAATTCCTATGTAGCGATGGAATCATATTTTTTAAAAAAATATTTATAATATAGGCTCTACTTGTGTATCGAGCATTGTTTTTGTTTTTTTTTTTTAAATAAAAACAAAAATACTAAAGAACTTTGGATTATTAACCTAATGGGTCTTTCCTATTTTTGAATATATTTGCACATAAAATAAAAGTAAAAGTAAAATAACATAGAGAGATTTTAACTTTTAAAACCAGGAAATCAGTTGAATCCGCTATTTTGGTTTCAACTTTACGGTGTCCTTAAGCGTTTTTTTTATTAATGACCTCTGAACTCTTTATTTAAAAAAAAGAAAAGAAAAGAAAAACTAATGAACGCTATATTATCATTTTTTGAAAGCAAGTCAGCAGATTAAAATGACATCCTGATTTTTAAAATATATATATATATATATATATATATATATATATATATATCAAAATGAAACAAAATGGCTATTTTTGTAGTGATTTTATAACATACTTATGTTATAAATTTTTTTATAAAATAATTATATATATATATATATATATATATATATATATATATATATATATATTTAGACACCTCAACCTTACCCTGACTTGACCTCTTTGAATGTAACTGAGATATTGATACAAATTATTAACCCTTACGCCCCCCACTTTTTTTTTAAAAAATAATTGCTCTAAACGTTACCATAGTAATTTTAATTTTAATAATGAATATGCTTATAAAAACGCGTAAATTTCAAGAATTAGTTATTCCTAAAAAATTTCGCTTGAAGATGGAACAGAGCTTGGTACTTTAATTCAATTTAATTCAAATAATTATATTGAAGTTTTCGGCTCTTGTTTTGAAACATGAGAACTCTTATGTAGCGATGGAATCATATTTTTAAATAAATAATATATATATATATATATATATATATATATATATATATATATATATATGTACATGCATATCTTCATTCAAGCATGTTTATTGAATAATATAGACATATTATGTCTATTTATTTTCCTAATAATCATTTCTCGTTCTCTAATTAGCTTCTTGACGTTAAGTTGAAATTCATCAAGGAAGGTACCGTAGTTTTTGTTAATCCAAGTACTTTCGATCTCCTGCGAGATCATTCTCAGTTGTGTATTGCGGACACAACTGTGATCGTTATATGGTGATTTTTTTTAAAAAACGCGGATGAACGCGTTCATAATTATTTTGGGATTATAAATTTATCTGTTGAAGCTATGGTGGTTTTGCAAACAAGCGTCCCAATATATATATTATTCAATGAAGCATGTTTGAATATATATATATATATATATATATATATATATATATATATAGAGAGAGAGAGAGAGAGAGAGAGAGAGAGAGAGAGGCAGACAGACAGACACACCCTGGGTATGACGGCAAACTACATCCACGTCCTGGTTAAGACGATAAACTACGTCCAACAGCAAGGACTCTGATCAGGAGATTTTGAGGAACGTAAAACCACCTCTTTATTGCTGGTGTTCCCAGGTCCATCCTGACTCAGGGTGGTAGCACCTGTTAGGGTCCCAGCTATGGGTAAATAGGTAACCCCAAACTGGTGTAAAACGCTATGAAAAAAAAAAAAGGTCTTAATACCAGAAATACATTGTAAAAAAAATTATTACCATCAATATATTTTTTGAAAAAATATTACCAGCAATAAGATAAATTGTCGGCATTAAATAAACCATTGAGGTTGATAT